TGAACCTAATAACATCTTAGTATCCCAAAATCGAATAAATGATGACCTTGAATTCATAAAAACTCTGTCAAGCAAACAAAATTTGAAACTGAATCCTAGCAAATGCCACATCATGTTCTTCGGCAACATAAGCCAAAGACAATATGCTAAACATCATATGGAACTCGAAATAGGTGACCAAATACTCAAATCGGTTGACTCTACAAAAAACTTGGGAATCACTTTCGATCAAGATTTAAAATTCAACGCACATGTAAAACAGCTTATGATCAAATCCTTCGCCATTCTCAAAGTTCTTTATTCATACAGACAGAGCTTGTTCTTTTGCACAAAAAAGCTACTTTCACAATCGCTTATCCTTTCGAAAATCAACTATGGAGACTCTGTCTATGGTCCCTTCCTGGGTTCCGCTAATCAATACAAAATACAACGTGTGCAAAATTCTTGTGTTCGCTTCATTTTGGGAATATGTAAATTTGAACATATTTCCCAAGCTCGTGCCAACCTTGGTTGGATATCAATGTCCGTTCTAAGGGAATATAACTACTGCAATATCACCTACTCACTACTGAAATCTAAAATACCTGTTTCTCTATTCAATAAATTGGCAAAGAGGTTAGAGCTCCATCCTTTCAACCTTCGAACTAACGAAAACTTACACATCCCTCGTCATTCGTCAGCCATGTTCAGAAAATCATTTTCCTTCCTTGCTGTATTTTTTCATAATACGATTACTAAGGAACTCATGCAATTCCCGAAATCCACATTCAAAAAGAAACTAAAAGCAAAATTCAATATGTGATCAGAAGAATTGAATGTATACATTAAACTATGATCTTGTTGTATACATATTATAATGCATATTAGATTAAGTGTAAGAGTAGCTAATAGCTAAACTTCGCCTATTATGTAATATTAAATACGGAAATACTGAATAAAGTCGATTATTATTGTTATTATTATTATAACTACCTAATTGTACATATACACCTATATGTATATAAGAGATTCGATTCGTAGGAACTAAAGTGGCATTTTTTCATGACCATTTTTGAGAGTTCATCAAAGTCAGAAGCTTTTTCATTTCGAAGATATTAACTATCTTAAAAAATAGATGATAATCAGATAAGAAGTTAATGGTAAGTTCAGAGTGGGTCCGCAATGAGATCACAATTCCTAGGTAGTAAAAAAAATGAAAATAAAACCCAACCACAGATACATAATTTTTTCTACAAGCATTCTCCAAAGTTGTGTTTTTGGAATGAAAACTTCATTAAACTTCACACACCAAGATACCAGCCACCAACAACATCCCTTGTTGGTTCGTCTTCATTTTTGTATTCGTTCCTCCGTAAATGGATCGCAAAATGGTCTTCTCCCATCCCTCTATTGTTTCTTCCTGAGTCTTTTTCAACACCCATGTGGCTCTGATGACTGTTTCGTGAATTTTGTCTTTTGTTTTCCTTGATAGAAATTTTGATTTCATTAGGAATCTTGGTACAACATACTTTTGTTCCCGTTTCGTTATTCTGTTTTCTATTTTTCTATCTTTATGTCCATTTTCTTTCACTTTCACACCTATGTGAATTCTTGAACTCTTTCAAAACTGTATGACTTTTTTTGTCCACCTGCATCGTTTGTTTACGATAGCCTGTTTCATTCTAAACAAAAAATGTCTCTTGGGTTTTTTGTCCAAAATGAACCAGTTCGCAGCAAAAAAATATTTTATGATCAACTACAAAGATACATCGCATCGTCATAAATGCGAAAATACCAAACTAATCTATCTAGTAGGTCGCTATTAGACATAGTGACAATCAAATTGGTATGACGCTGTCAGTTTCCATGAGGAAATGGCTGATATGCATTACGTTTACGGTCTGTCGCAGTTAGAAGCTTCTAGAACATATGCAGAAATGTATCCTCAACGGCAGCATCCTTCACATAGAATATTTTTTTGCAATTGGATGCTGGAAATGATTAGAAGAAATCGTGACTTTCTGAAGACGACAGAATTCACAGACGAATCTAGTTTTTCTCGGGACAAGATTATTAATTGTCGTAATTAACATATGGGCCGATGAAAACCCTCACGATATTGTCGAAACTAACCATCAAAAAAAGTTTTCTCTTAACGTGTGGCTCGGAGTTATTGGGGATGATTTAATTGGGCCTCATTTTCTACCTCTTCGATTAAATGGTGAGGCATACGTTCAATTTTCAAGAGAAGTGCATCCAGTACTGCTGGAGGAAGTTCCTTTGGGCGTCAGAAGGAATATGTTTTTTATGCATGATGAGGCCCCCGCCCATTTTAGTCAAGTAGCACGTCAGCATTTAACTGAAACATATGCAAATCAGTGGACAGGTCGAGGAGGACCACAGAACTGGCCCGCTCGATCCCCGGATCTCAATCCTCTCGATTTCTCTATTTGGGGCCATTTACAGCATTTGGTTTATCGTACTTCTGTTCGCGATGTAGAGGACTTAAGAAACCGCATCATCGATGCATACAGGGTAATCAGAGAGACTCCAGGAGTATTTGAGCGAATCCGTGGTTCAATACGCCGAAATCTAGACGCATGCGTAATGTCTGAAGGTAGACATATTGAACATTTACTATGATATGATGATATGTTTTGTTATTAATAAATTAGTTTTGTTTATTACCATTTAATCGTTTAATGCAGGTACTAACTACAAAATAACAATAAATCCAGTTCGCATTTATGACGATGTATCTCTGTTGTTGTTCGTAAAATAATTTTTTCCTGCGAACTGATTTATTTTGGGCAAAAAATCCAAGAGACATTTTTTGTTTAGAATGGAACAGGCTATCGGAAATGAATTTTTAGATGGTAAACAAATAATAAGACAAAAAGTTATATTGGAAATAAATTTTAGGGGTTGCGTTTTCCACCCCTTACAACCTTGGGGTAAACCAAATGAATTAATGGCTAAGTGTCTTTTTGGTAGTACAAAACGTCAGGTTAAATTCAATATTGTAACTTTTTTAGTGCTTGTGATAAAATTGTTTTACAAATTTTATGTACCCCCTTTAAGAGGCTGTATCTTAACAAGGGATGTTCCAATGAAGTTTCTTCATATGAAAGATCCTATCTTTTTTTCGATGAGGAATCACCTCCTTAAATGTTTTACACTTATTTAGTTACACCCTGTATTTGTTCAGTCTACTATACGTAACTATTGTGCCAATATATTATACTTACCCTGTCGGTAGTAGTTGAATTTCCGTATAGTTTTCACACGCTTGTTCGTCAATTTTTTTGTGCATGGGGCATACGAGAGCCATTGCTCAGTATTCTAGCATTTTTTTCTCCTTACAAATCTGTTTAACCAATAAACATAGTTGTTGAAGCAGCTGTTCCCCGCTGCGTTCAACATTTCAGCTGTTATTTCTGTGGCTCCTGGTCTTTCGTTATTTTTAAAATAGGTGATTATGTCTATCACGTCTTGTGTCGTTGTTGTCACGTCTTGTGTCGTTGTTGTCTTAATTTCAATATCATTTCCTTCCATATTAAGTGGTATGAAAAGCTGCAGCTTCGTTTAGCAGAACCTGAAAGTAGTCCTTCCATCTTTCTGAAACTTTGGGTGTTTCATTTATTAGTACCCCTTTTCCATCGTTGATGTAGATACTTCGATTCTGATATACTTTATCCATCCTTTTAACCTCCTGGTAGAATGATCTCATCTTTCAATTATGAAATTTTGTTTCAATTTCCTTTAGCTTCTCTTCATTGGATTTTCTTTTCTTACTTTACATTGTTTTCGCATTTCTTCCCTTGTATCTTCATATACTTTTTTATTTCTCTCATTCTCCCTTGTTAGCATATTTTTCCTGTTTCCTTTTTGAATCAGCAGCTTTTTCGCATTTTGTCATATCAATCCCTTGTTTTTCTTTTCTGTATCATATTACTTATAACCACTTCACTTAGTTTCGCAATTGTTATTTTCATATTATCCCATATCCCTTCATATCCCGGGTTTTGTAAGTTTGCAAGTGGTTCTCTTTCAATTTTTTTTATATTATTTTTTATTTCCTCCTTCTCAAGTAGGGACGAATTAAATTTTGTTTTATTCGCCTTGGTAATTCTCTTTCCCCCCCCCCCAGTATTTTCTGCATGCAACTTTCACCATGTAGTGGTCTGAATTACTTACTGCTCTTCTCATTCTTTCTTCTCTTGTTATGAAGTTCATGTATTTTTTCCCTATTAAAACATGGTCGATTTGATCAATAGTTTTCCCGTCATGTTGCTTTGTATATTTTCTTTCTCTCATATTTCTTTCCATTGGAAAACATATTATTCTCTGCCAATTATTATTGGTCATATCGTGTTTGCTATGTTTACCACCTGTATTTTCACATATACCTTCCTTGCCTAACTTAGCGTTTCACCTATTATTATTTTCATATCATATTTAGATATTTTTTCATTACTTGTAAAGACTTGAACTAGAGACACGCCTGAAGAAACTATTGTGTAGCGAAATCGTGTTGCGTTTTTTGTAAAACATATCAAAGAAAATAGTATTTTTTTAATAAACTCTTCAACTCCTACAAAAGTTCTTCGAACCTTCATTTGTGTTTGGATGAACATTTCGCGATTTGGCAAACTCAAATTTCCGAAATAACCTTATTAGATTTGTTCATAATACGTAAATCAAGCAGCGGTTTACCATAGTATTTAATAATAGTCCCATAATGTATTCTACATTTTAATAAACATTACAGAAATATTTCAAGCTCGGAACCCGTGGGTTCATCGATGCGTTAACACCCAATCAATCAAATAATAGCCTTGCATAATGGACACTTTCGCGAAAAACGCAATATTCTTGGTATAATAAACGTCAGTTTGTAAAAAAGCCCTCCTTTCTCTGACAGATAAATCGATTGTAACAAGTGAAATCAATCCAGAGCGAAGCCTCAGTATAATTCGCGCGTTTGTACAATCCAGTGTGCCCAAACAGGGAAATGCAAGATGCTTATAAGTAAAGTTATATGTGTTGCTATTGCGTTGGTAATTGTATGTGCCCAGAATGCACCTCCGAGCAATAGAGACAGGAGAAATATACAGAGATTTTTGACGAATGTCGGAGATTTGTTCGGATACGACGTCTTCAAGAGGCCTAGGATAATTATCTCAATTAACGCGCCTGCCCAAGCACCTGCTGCCCCAGCACCTGCTGCCCCAGCCCCTGCTGCCCCAGCCCCTGCTGCTCCAGCCCCAGCAGCTCCTGCTCCAGCAGCACCTGCTCCAGCAGCTCCTGCTCCAGCAGCTCCTGCTTCTCCAGCACCTCGTGCCCTTCCGGCTGCACCTCCGGCTCCCGCTGGCCCCCCACAGGTGCCTTCACTTCTCACTGACAGCGTAAGGAGGCAATTCAGCATCAACCTAAATTGGGATAGGAATCGATCCCCACCTCCGCAAGATCCAGTTATTAATGCCGTACTCGTCTCTCCCCCTGGCTTGGTCACTTCTCCTGCAGCTCCTGCTGCGCCTGCTCCTGGGCCAGCTCCTGGGCCAGCTCCTGCGCCTGCTCCTGCACCAGCTCCTGCACCAGCTCCTGCACCAGCCCCTGCTCCAGCACCGGCACCCCCAGCAACACCAGTCCTTCCTGCCGCCCCTCCGAAACCTAGCAAGGTGAGCGACTACGACGATCAGTCGGAAAGATCTGAAGACTACGAAGACCGACCGAAACGTTTCTACATTGATCTCCCCGACTACAGTACGTCGAGGGAGGCGACAGGAACCAAGAGAGCAGCCAGCGGCGATATCCAACAAAAATCTAGAGTGATGTTCAAGAAGGAGTTCGACGAGTTCTGGGACAAAGCCCCCTGGACTGTCGAGCATGGATACAAATACATAGTACCTCAAGGATCAACGATTCTGCTTAATAAGCCGAACGAAGTACCAGAGGAGCTGTCGAAGTACGAAGAGGCCACTTTACCAAAAGATAACAAAGTACGTAGCTTAAAAGTGGTTCATAACATAAGGCTTTACAAAAAGCCTTATAACGATGCCTTGTCTGCGGCATCCACCGCTGTTACTTACTTCCAAAAGCCGCCCGTGGGACAAAATTTTGATTACTTGGTCAAACATAAGGCGGAGCCCTCGTATCTCACTTCCAAGTACGTTAATGCAGAGCTCCTTAATTTTTATAACCAAAAGTTTAGGGAGGATGCTCAAAATAAAATTAAAGAAGTTAACGAGAGGCAGCAAGCTTTACCGCAAGGTCCAGAAGTTACTTATCTTCACGATTACAATCCAGAAGAATCGCCTCTCAATTTATATGCGAGCCCGGAAGCATCAAACAGAGAATTTCCAAAAAGCAACCCTATTATTCAACCCTATTCGCCTACGCTTCAGTTATTTGTTAATCCAGGAGTGTTAGCTGAAGATGCTCAAGAGCAAATCGAACAAGTTGGAATTAGCAATAATGAAAAAGAAAGAATAAACAACGAAAAAGAAGAGGTGAAAGAAGTACAATTCGCTAACCAAAAAAATGTAAGCGCGAATGATAAAGAGAATGAAGAAACTGAGCAAGGACAAAAAGAAGACTACAGTGAAGATTCTCAATCTGAAAACCTTAGTGATGACAAAGCAGACACCAGTGAAGATACAGAAGAAGCCATTGAAAATGATCAAAGGCAGAAAATCGAAGAAAATAATGAAAAAGAAAATTTTGAGGTAGAGCACTTGGAAGATGCTCGTGAAAATGAAGAGCAAGAAGAGTCTGAAGAACAAGAGTCTGAAGAACAGCAAAATGGAGATGCAACGGATGAAGATGCGGAATATAACTACGAGACTGGTAACTATGATACTGTAGACTTTGACAAATTCATAAAAGATAATTTTGAGGAATACAAGACCCCAGACTATGATAAAATTCGACAAGAAATACAAGAAGAAGGCGAAGAGAGAGCAAACGAATCCAAAGAAGCAGAAGAAGATGAAGAAATCAATGAAGAAACTAAAGTCGAAAACGAGGATGAAGAAAAAGCAAAAATTGAAAAACTCAAAGAACAACACGATAAAGAATTTCACCTTGTTTTTCCAAAATTAGGAGCAGGAACAGAATACGAAAATTTTTACGATAGTTTCCAAGACGTTGACAATGACCATGAAGCCTCAAAAGAAAACGTTAAGGAAAAAGCCTCAAAAGAATACGTTAGGGAAAAAACCTCCGAGAGTATCGAGGAAGCAATTAAGGAGAAAGGCCCCAAAAAATTTGATTTCTACCCAAAAAAATTCCAAGAAATCGACGGTACGTTTAAAAAATTAAAAAAAGTCCATCCAAAAGATACGAAGTCCCAGAAAGATAGTGTTGACAATTTCGACATTCAAAACAGATATAAATCTGCAAAACAAGACTTTGCCAAACATCTAACCTCATCCTTAGAGCAAAATCCTCGCACAAAATCCGAACACCCCGCTGACAGTTTTCGAAATGAAGATTCCCACGAAGCAACCGAGAAAACTGTAGTACAACCCTTGTACACTGGAGTTTGGAACATAGGAGCTCTCCAAGAGCTTTATAAATCTGATAAACCTGTGACGATTCCCTTTGATCACGAATATGGAGCATCTGAGAAAGTTAAAGCAAGAACGAAAAGAGAAGCCGACGAATCTTCAGATGAATTGAAGCAATTCGAGACAAATAACGATTATATTCCTGATAAATACACCGAGGAGTTTACTTACAAGGCACCTGAACCTGTAGCTTACGATTATGCAAAACTCGAAGCTAAAACATACGAGGATGACGATAAGTTTTCTCCAAATGCTAGGGTTGTCAGTAAAGAACACGGTCAAAAAAAAACATATGTTAAAATTGATAAACCATCTACTGTTTTGATTAATGGGAAATAATTATAGCTATGCTCATTAACATCAATTGTACTTTAGTTAGGCTTTATTATATAATAGAAGTAAACACTTTTTGTGATGAACGATTGGAAATTCTTTATTTGTTTTAGTAACTTATTTATTTCGCGCTTATTAACTATTACTCAATAGAACGTTACGGTAGTGATTTTATTATTAGATAATGTCAATCGCAAGATTTTATTTTGTATTTGCTAAGTGTTATGTTACAATTTGTTTTGTTATCTATCAAATATTTTATGTTATTTAACCGACTTGATCTTTTTTATATAAATGACTTATCGCAATTAATGTTTTCTTATTATTCTTCCCTCTGAAAAGCAGAAAATTTTATGAAACGGCATATTTCAGTTTTGCTTATTAAAAATTTCCAATATCACACGATTGTATCACAACACTGATACTGTTCAAATTGGAAGGGATATATTTTTTGGAGGTTTTTTTTGGAAAAGTAAGATTTTGGCTTTCTACTTCCCACATTTTTTGTATGAAGATGGAGAAGTAGAAAGCCAAAATTTTTCTTTCCAAAAAATTATACCGTCAAATGAATTTTGTAGAAGTTTATTCATAGTACCTATATGAGTGGGAAATCATAGTATTTTAGTGGAAAACATTCGAAAACTCTCAAAAAAATTCTCATAGAGAATATAAGGCAATCTTGATTTTTCTCAGTAAAATGTAATCAGAATAGAATGCAGTGTTACCAAGATATGTGGCTAAATAAACCATATTAAGTTTTACAAAAGCCTTTTCCATAATGTTATAAACGACCCATGTTCTTTAAAGGACATTTTTTGTAGAGGACTCAATATTTTATACTGTTTTTCTGTGTTTATAACCTTCCACAATCAGAAAAAATAAAAGCTGAATCAATAGGGAATCTGATGAAGTTCAGTAAAGGGCAAACTGTTCATCCCGAAAACTTACTGCGTAATATAAACTACAGGAAAGTCCAATTAGTAACTTGTATTTAGCAAACTCTCCATAGCTTTCATTTTTCAGATTGTGGAAGGTTATAAACCCAATAAATCAGTAGATATAAAATACCGATGTTCCTTTTCAATAAATCGTTTCAACAAAAACATGATTGACAAAAGCAATTAAACAATAAAAAATCAAAATCATAAAAAAGGCAAATAACTTTTTGCAAATCTCAGTATTATGTCGCCCCGAATGAAAAACAACCCTCAAAAATAGAAACTTCTACAAGCTGAGATAACGAGGTCTTATCGTTCAACAAGCGATTTCTACCCACTATGAAAAAAGTTGCTAAAGATATCAAAAAATAATCATAACCTCATACATCTAGGTTAGGATAGGTTAGGCCAAAGTGAGTGGGTCTATTCGACCCTCCACCGGAACCCGCAAGGGTTTATTGTCGCTCACACCTATTCTCACTCTGCCAAACAAACCCAGCTTCTCAACGAAGCCGATTAGTTCATATGGTGAGTGGTCTTTCAGGTCAGATGGTGAGAATACGGCTCTGCCGAACTCCAATAACCTGATTCGGTCCCCAGCGGGGCAGGCACAAAGTATGTGCTCTGCTGTTTCATAATTTTCCAGACACCTCATACATTTGATCGCATGTTCTAATATATAAGATACCGAGACTGTTGCAACAATTTTTGTGGATTTCTCGAAAGCATAGTGGAAATGTTCATCAGATGTTGGAAACATTCAGAAGTGGTTGTAATGGTGTATTACACATGATGCTTCTCCAGGTTCCACAATTAGTCTACATTTTTTTAAACACTCGTACATCATTGATTTATTGAATATTTTCCACTATTCGTTGATTATATAACCACCTCAGGGCAGGAGAAAGTGTGGCCACATCGAAAGTTGCAGTTGAATTATTGAAAAACTGGTATAACTCACCTAGTTTTGAATGCAATACACCAAAAACATGTATATTGTCCTTAAGTTATAAACTCGGGAAGAAAAAGGCTTGGATGTTGAGTCAAGGGTCTTGAATATTTTCAACTGGAACAAGTAATAAGCTTGTGGGTGCTTTGCAGGCAGGTTGCAAACTTGTGTCCTCGACTGCAAAACCTATTTTCCATGTCTTCGTAGAGTCCTATTGAACACGTTTAAAGATACAATTCCATTCTGAGGAGTCGCAAATAACAATCTCACATCTACATAACACAAGAACTTGGGTTTCAAAACTGAAATTCTCCATTTCAGAAATCCACTAATCGCTCACAAAAGTTAATGAATGTCAAAGCCCTCGTCATTTTGGAAACATTATTCATTATTCAACAGGTTTTACAACAGAATCTAGCTCTCGAGTCATAAAAGCATACATACTTCGCGGGACATGAAGCGTTGAAAATGTTTTGAAAATATCACCTTCTCTTATACTTTTTTGTTGTAGGAGATGAAATCAATTGGAATTCAAGTGAACACTCAAACAAAAACTGCCGAAACACTGACTGAAAATGACACCCAAAACGGGTCATATCAAAGAAAGTAAGTAACTAGATAGCGAAATAAATAAATATAGGGTAATAGAGAATCTGCTCTAAGATAAACTGAGGAGTTTATCCCGAAAAGTTACTGCATAATACACGGTTAGCGGTATTTTGGGAAATAATGGGATTCATATTCTGGTAAATATAGGTTTTTTGATATGCTTCATCATGAAAATAATGGCGTTTTTCAAAACTTCCGTTTATACCAGAAGTTGGAACCAACTTACTTGATTCAAATGAAACACCCTGTACACTACCACATTTTTGAATACCTGGCATAATTCTAATGTAGGTTTACGTAAAACACCCTCTACCAAAAATGAACTGAATTCTCGGACAATATCCTGCATGTGTATCATGTAAATTATCGAAAATGGCATCTACATTTTATTCTTTTGACCTTTGTCAATTAAAAAGATATATTTCCGAAAGAGGCGTTTACAATAACTATATTTTCAAGGTTTGAGAACGGATTCTCTGTTAATCTAAATTTATTCATTTATCGACTCCCCCACAGAAAAAAATAGTGTCTTTCAAGGAATATTCTAAATAAAAGCTTGAATTTTTTCCTAATTATTATTCAATGAATCGGTTGCACTTTTTTCCTTTTTTTTTTGAAAATAACATCAATGTATGCAACCCAGTGAAAGAAGACCGTTTTAAGTTGACATCACTGTTTTACTCTCAGAAATTGTGGATAATGCCACTACATAATTAGGTGGGCTGAAAAGTTTGTAGACTAACACACACATGTTTCTATTAGTATTAAAACCATATTTTTTTAGTTAACTATAATCTTCAAAAGGCACATGTACAAATTTCACAGCTGTCGGACTATTAGTTTGTAGTATAGAACATTTTAAGAGAAGCAACTTTTGTTTGTTTAAAGAAACTGGATAAAAATTGAATGTTAATGAAGCATTGCTGTTTGGCAAAAAAATACTGTTGAAGCCAAGGTTTGAATTGATAAACAATATTGGGACTTTGCACCAGGAAAATCAACCGTTGAGAAGTGGTTTGCTAAGTTTAAACGAGGTGGAATAAGCTGTTACTGAAGAAAACATAAAAAAAGAACACAAAATAAATGTGGATTACCGCCAAGTGAAGTTAGTCAAGATAGCTGGGGCTCTAAAGACATCAAAGAAAGGTGTTGAACATATCGTGCATGAATATTTGGGAGTGAGAAAGCTTGATCTCACAATCGACCAAAAACAAAAACGAATTGATTAGTGTGTTTGAAGCTGTTTCACGATGGAAACCCGAATTTATGCGTCGATATGTGACAAAGGCTGAAACATGGTACCATCATTAAACACCAGATCCAATGAATGTGGTGAACCGACTCCAAAGCGTTCAAAGACACAACAGTCGGCTGGCAAGGTTATATCAGTATTTTGTGATGCGCATGGTATAAAACTCATCGTCTACCTTGAAAAGGGAAAAATCATCAACAGCGACTATTACATTGCGTTATTGAAGCGTTTAAATGACGAATTCGCAGAAAAACGGCCCCATTTGAAGAAAAATTAAGTGCTGTGCATTGTGCACTGTGTCACAAATCAATGAAAACTATGGCAAAGTTTCATGAATTGGGCTTTAAATTGCTTCTGCATCCACCTTATTCTCCAGATCTGTTCCCCAGCGTTTTTCCTGTTCTCAGACCTCAAGAGAATGCTCTCTAGGAAAAAAAAAATTCTTCGATAAAGGTAATCGTCGAAACTATTTTGAGGCTGAAGACAAATCGTACAATAAAAATGGTATCGAAAAATTGTATTATTGCTATATTCGTTGTATCGCCCTCTAGGCTACTATATTGAATAATAAAACTCAATTTTATAAATAAATTCTATGTAGCCTACGAATTTTTCAGTCCAACTGTTATGCATGTATGTTTTGTGTTTTCTTGATTGGTCAATTGGCAGTAATTACAAATTAAAGAAATCTGTTTGGACAAATGAAGCATCTGGTTATGGTCCAAAAGTATTCGTCTGTTTAGTCTCATAATGGATATTACTCAAAATTTTAATTTCAGCAAGCTTCCTCATTTCAAAACATTTCTTTGAAAAAAATAAATACTACATCCACGAATGATTTTAAAATTTGTTGCTGGATTAATACCAGAGTCTTTCCGTACTGAACACCAACTTCATTTGTCAAATAAACCAACCAACTGCTGCTTTTTGCCAGTCAACTTTTCCAAACATTTCTGCTGGATCTCGATTATTGAAATCGAAATTGGACAATTCTGTGAGAATATATCCAGTTTTACATGATGTGTAACTAACTTCAGCTGTCAAATGATTGTACAAAATGTTTGTGATGGTAAATTTCAAACGGGATTTGTAGGTATATATTGTTATCAACTTCCTCATTTCTAGTCAACTATATACGATTTCATATTGAAAGTCACGTATGACTGGCTCATAGACTTCACTTTTACTTAATATTGATGATATATTGCATCCTTCACAAAAGCCGAATTTTGATTTACAATGTTTTTATCATCATTGAAGTAAAAGTAATAGTGAGATGTACAAACACTTCGTTCAATACATAAATTAATCGTCTTTTTTCAGCCTTTCAGAAATTTTTGACAGGCTCAAGACTGAATTAGTCGACTTACACAGTCATATTGAGAAGCAAAATGTCAAGTTATGAACACCAGTCTTCAAAAGTACAACATTTTATTAAAAACACATTCGAGAATAATAAAGTTGTGTTCATTTTTTCCTATACAGCATAACAATAAAATTTTTGATATACTTTTTGTGTATTTTGTAATAACAATTTTTGGTTTCAAAATAACAACAATTTCTGGTCTAAAACAGTCAGCGTGATGAAATATTTTAAATCGGTCACAAAAAGATATGTACGATAAAACTTATAAAGTTTTATAAAATTATGGGCTCAGTTTAAGCAAATTTCTGAGTCAAGTAGTTATGTGAGTAGTCATATACAACAAGCATGATGGCCCCACCTGGTCCAAGCCGAAGAACTTTGGGAAGCAGGCCTTTATAAAGTGCCATAAATCTGTAAAACAAATAGATTCTGTAACATCATGTTATTGAATAAAAGGTCACTCACAGATTGCATTAACATGCACCTACCCTTCTTCCTTATAAACGGTTCTCATCGACTTCAAGGTAGTCCTGTATTTTATTTCTCCAGCCACTGGCTGAGGTCCTTGGATCCTAGATTTAGCAACATCGAATGGAATATTTATGCAGGATGCCAAACTACCAGATACAAAACCTATGCACACCTTTTTGAAGAATTCCTTATACTGATTCTGCAAAATAATCATACAAATCATATCTGAAAAAATATTTATTCATATGAACAGTTAATAACTTTTTGATAATACAAAATTCAAATCTTGTATTTAGGAGTTGATGATCATCATTACATTAGAAAACTTTCTTTGAAGTTCTTAGAAATTATATTGCCAGTTTTGGTAGAATCTTTTTTTGTGTTTCTATATCAAGATAGAAAATATTTTTTGACAATTCATATGTGAAATTACTTTTTCAATGAGTATCAGATGATTCAAAGTAATATTTTCAATAATTCTGAAGATGGAGTATTCCTTTTTTTTAATATTACCTTTAAAGCTTTACTCATGAGAATTTTTACTTTTTTCATTTAAGAGACAGAATATTTGTAATAAAAAATATATAATGAAAGTACCATCATCTATGCATTACAAATATAAAGATGACTTCAAAAAGATTCTTTATCAAAGAAAGTTTCTGTTCTACTATGTTGACATTTATTAGTACCTAGATATTGCAGAAGGCAATGGATGTAACCACTCAATTTTCATTTTGATGTATCCTGACTCTTATCAAAAATGCAATGAATGAATTTTGGTACTAAAAAGTATGAGCAACAAGATTTTTAGACATTATCATGTCTCCAAATTCACTTGAAGCAGACAAATATAATGATCAAAGGTAAGTTCAGAAAACTAAAGATGACTTTAAAAGATTCTTTATCAAATAGATATTTCAGAAAGCACTGGATACAACCACTCAATTTTCATTTTGATGTATCCTGACTATCTTAAAATGCAATGAATGAATTTTGGTACTAAAAAGTATGAGAAACAAGATTTTTAGACATCATGCCTCCAAGTTCACTTGATGCTGTCAAATACAATGATCAAAGGTAAGTTCAGAAAACCTCAGTTACTTCTAACGCAACTGAAAACCACCGAAGTTCATGAAAGCCTTGGAAATTGTCAATGATATTCGGGAGGACCATGTAGATTTGATATTGCAGAACTCAAATTCAAATGCATATATTGGTTGCTTGACTTATTTAATAATGATTATGATAATTGTAATAATACTTAGAAAGAGAACAGAAATTCTTATTAACAAAGGGTATTTTATATTAATAGTTTGAAAAATAGACACATAACAAAACACAAATTAGTCAGAAAATAATAAATGAAGGTACATCAAATCGAATGCTACATCAGACCAGGATAATTTGAGTTTGAAATAGGTAATCTAATATTTTCAGACTGCCGAGTACTATGAATCGTTTGGATGGCTTTGAAGCTGTTTTCTTATTAGGCATGCATTTTCCGATATGAATAATGCTACTACTGTCAGAATTGCATACTTATAAATAATGGTCGACAAGAATTATTTATAACAGGGATAAAAATTAAATCACACATCACATTATTATTCTGCAAGAATTATAAAATAAACATCAACTTGGATAGATAGAGTTTCGCTTGAGAAACAACACACAAGTAATAATAACTGATTAAGTTAAACCTGATCCTCTGCAAAAACAAATATGGAAGTTTTACAGGGTTTGATACCGTCACCTCTGTTATTCATAATTTTTGTCAGTGTTATTGATCATGTTTTAATATTCTCATATTGTATTATACAGTACGCTAGTGATACTAATATTATAATATCAGATGATCAACTCAACCAACTTGTGAAGAACAGCAACATAGCATCCAGTGGATTCCTTCAATATTGAACACAGAAAAAACTTTATGCATAGTCTACCAAAAATTTTAAAAACTATTCTCATATTGAAAGGAAATCTATCAAAAGTGTATAAACCACAAAATTTTTAGGGATAAATTCAGACTGTAAACTCAGCTGGAAAGCTGGTTTTAACCAGTTATCTTCGAAAAAGTACCCACTGAAAAATAAACAGTACTCCTGCTTATGTACTATGAACTGGTTCAGTCAGCTTTACGTTATGGCTTAATTTTTTTGGAGCCATACCTTCACATTCATATTATTCACAATATGTTCACCAACATTTTAGATACCAAATATAAGTGATCATTCTGAAATCAATTCAGATGCATTTCTCAATTTCAGATTTCAATTTGGGATATCCAAAGTATAAGTGTACAATTTTCACTTTTTGTAAATATTCTTATAAATAACAGTTTTATCTCCATTTCTTTTACTAAATTTCATTGGTGTGTCATGACTTCAATTCGAGATATTTTTACTTGTTAGAGAAGAGCAATGGGAATTATTGGAATTTGTAAAATCTTTCATTACTTTCCTTAAGTACACCTCACTAACTATCCTACTTAACTAATAAACTGATTGATATGAAGAAAACAATTTAACAAAATCAAAATCTAACCTCGTATTCTGGTAAAAATCCTTTGACAGAATGGTAAAATCCGAAATACACCATATTGAAAACACCATTTCTAGCGATGGTGGCAGTAATCCCTTTATTCAATCCTCTAAGCCCTAGCCCGTTCTCAGTGACTATCTGCCTCGTCACAGCCCAAGTGCTAGGTATTTCCCCAGAATGTGCCTTGTTCGCCTGCAATGTCACTTTGACTACTTCAAAAGGATTGACAAGAATGGCTTCTGTAGTTCCAGCACCTAGGCCTGCTAGTGAGAATGTCTGAAAAATACTTTGGATGGTGAAGAACCCAAATGAAGTTTGAAATTTTCAATCTTCATTGTGAAGTTTTTCCTTAAGAAGATTGTCTCAATAAATAGTTCTGTGTTTATTTTATAGAAAAAAATTATTGACTTCATAGTTACATCTGGACCTACAATACCATGTAAAATAATCTTCTGAAGGAAACTTGAACTGTTCTATTGGATGAGGGATTTTTTTGAAAATAGATGTTGCAATGAATTTTTAATATATTCGTAAAAACTATGAAGGTATACATTTTTTTACGCTAGTTATGCAGAATTTTATCATTCAATATTTTCAACCCACAGAATCCTGAATGAAATGTAATTATTGAAAGAAAGTTTATTTATTTCAAATCGTTTTCCTGACTTTCAATAAGGAAAATATAGTATTTTTTCTAGTAGATTAAAACTTAGTTGCAGTATTTTTTAAAAATAATATGTATGCAACTTTTATCTTGAATAATAAGGTTAAAACAATGAAAAAATGGACACAATTTGTCCCTTTTGTGAGATCTGTTTGTGACCCTTCAAATGTATTTTCTTGAATTTTTTTGTCTCCGCGCAAATTTTTTTATTGATTACTTCAATTTAGAGCATTCTGAAGCTTTCCTGAATATTTCCAAAGTTTTAGGAAAAAAAGGATTCATTAGTAAGACATTATCAACAGTACAAACGCATAAACATTTTTGGAATATTATAATTTGTGTGAATCAAAGTTCTTTTGACTAATTCGAAAAGATACCTATCAATTAAGTAGTCTGTTGAAAAAGATTCTTGTACAAATTTAATTTTGAAGCATTTTGTGCAACAAATGGTAAGAAAATGGCTTATTGATTATCACATTTAAGTTTCCAAATGATTTGCCTCCATTTGTTCTACTAAGATGGAGAAGATAACTTCAAATTTTGAATGAGGTTGTGCAACCTACAGAATCAAGCATAATAGAGCTGATGAGCATAACTGTTTGAATATAGTTGACACTGAAGGAATAGAAATAGGTTCTTATATAGTCAGTCCTCTTGAATTACACAAAAGTTCACATTTTTATTATCTGTAAGAAAAAAACTTAAGAGAATGAAATATTCCTTTGATATCACTTAATTTTTTATTTTAACTTCTTCACAATATCAACATTGAAGCAGTTTCTATAGACGATTACTTATATAACTGATGGTTTCTTAGGAAGGATTTGATGAATTATTTTAAGTCATTGTTTTTTCAATATACATATTGTTCTTGTGAAGTAAAACTATTGGCATGACATGTTTAGATACTGTACTTTACTATAAGATTATTAATCGAAACAAAAATTTTCAATCATACTACAATGATTTTTATCAATAAAAACGAAACAATGACTATTCCTTTCATATGCCATTTCCATTATATTTTGTATATAGATACTTTTGGATATAGACACTTGAATATTTAATCATAATAAATGAGCTCAGGTGCACTTACCAAAGGCGTGGGCGTAGGAGAACCAAACATAAAAAGTTGTTTATATTGCTCGAATGTAAAGAACTGTAAAAAAAAACTGTTATATTTCAGGCCCTAAAAAATACCCCTCCAAAATATTCAGCATCATGCAAATATATAACTGAACCAAAATTTGAAGTCAGAACAAAACAATCTCTAACATTTTAGATAATCAGAAATGTTTGCAAACGTGAATGCTATTTCATCTTCTGAATGCTGGAATTTTATGAATAATTGTACAGCCTTTTCTCATGATAACTTGCAATATACAATAAATATGTTTGAAAAATCTTGAAAGGAATACATTATTTTTTTAAAACTAGTATACAGTAATAAGAAGAAAAAATGTAACATATAACAGAGTACAATAATCAAAGAGCTAATAGTAAAAACAACAAATAGGCTACAGTTCATTAAATTAAACAATCTTGAAAGGAATACATTATTTTTTTAAAACTAGTATACAGTAATAAGAAAAAAAAATGTAACATATAACAGAGTACAATAATCAAAGAGCTAATAGTAAAAACAACAAATAGGCTACAGTTCATTAAATTAAACAACATTTAGAGTAAACTACAATGAAAAATGTGATACATTAGATAGTTAAAAATTCTACAATAATATAAAATATGGTGTTGAATATGATCTTTCAATGGTGAGCAGCCATCAGTTAGTTTTTTGAACTAGAGTAGATACTCCTTAAGAATTAGATGTATTATCCGTGACTCAACATATGTAGAATCAACAAGTATTAAATTTGTTGAATGTTCAATAATCAAGAAAAAATTTAATATTTTCTTACATTAACATGTATATCTTTTGTGTTCCAATGGCATATATAAAATATTTTGTTGATGCTGAACATTTTGTAAGACATATTTTCATTATTATCAAGGCTACTTCTGATACTAATGATTTTGTGGAAATCCGGAGTGAAATTTCACTGTACAACTTCAACTCTGGACTCAACAAGGTTGAAGGTTAATTTATCTTCGCTAAATCAGTTCTCACATACTTTCACAGCCCTTTTCGGGGTTTCAGCCAAAATTGGAGGTAATATTCCTTTCCAAAAAGAGAACAGTCCCTCGTGTTTGTACATCTTTCGGAAGCAATCCGCCAGACCGGTATAACTCTTTGGGTCATTTTTGTTCAAAACCTTCGACTGTATCTGGAGCCTTGTTTTCACTAAGTCAAGGGGGTGCACTATGCAAACTTCTACAAAGCCTTGAAAACCGAGATTTACATCCGAAACGAAAACAAAAAAATTGGACTTACCAGCGGAGCCCCCAGAGCCTATCTGAATGGCTGCTTCTTTCAAGATTCTTTTGGTGTCGGACATTGTAGAATTTTGAGGTTATGACGGAAAAGCTGATAGAGTAAAGTGCAATTCATCCAATGTATTTCTTTGTAAAAGGCTTTAAAGCTTGGCATTATCACAGGAGATATTTTTATCTCAAAGTTATGTAAACAAGAAACAAAACTGAATAATAACATAACCCTGAAACGTCAGCTGAGCAAATTGGGCATTTGGCATAATAATCCTTGTTCCTGGTATCTTTTAGAGTAATTGGAAATTGTATTGTAGTTCTTTGAAATTATTAGTTAAATGAATGAAAAAAGTAGTTTTCAAATAGAATTTTTCAATTAGTTATTTGGATTGCATAAATTTAGTGCAATATACCCACAATTCAAAATGTTTCTATGATGCTTTCATTTTTTATTTTATCATAACTGCATAAGAAGTAAACGACAGTTTTGTATCATCAGGAAACACATCGTTCGTAATATCCATTTCCAGATTACTATCCGTGATAAAAATTACAAATTTCCACAATGTAGACTTCATTTCCGATGCGCATCTCACTGTATACCAGTTTTTTCAGTTGGACTCTGGTACTCTTCACTAATTTACAATGTAATTCATAGAAATTGCCTTCCTTAATCTGTAAGTATAATTATTATAAGTATAATAATTGGTAAACAGGTAGAAAGCCCTTAAATTATTGTTAGGTACTGATGATTTGACTACTTCTAGTACATTTTTCATAAAAATAAATATTAAAGTGGTGTGAGATTAACTACTTGTTGGTCTTGATGAGTTGAATTTGGACCTCTATCGTGAAATGAATTTAGTTTTAGTCATCTCCAACAAGCGTCGAGAGAGCATTTTTGTTCTGGTAATGGAAAAGTGTTTTCAATAGATTTTTGTTGGTTGTTCAATAGAAAATTTGACTGTTAATGTTCATTCATTTCACTTCCAGGAATTCCAGCAGGTTCAATTCACATATTAAACGTAAAGTACCATCCAACTGGTGAAACTGATATGTAGTGGAGCATGTATTGGAAATGCAGTCTGCATTGTTTGAATTTGTGATTATTACCATGAATTAGTGTAATTGATTTTCACCAAGTAACGGGTCAGTGTATTCAAAAAATATCAGATAAGTTTAAGGTACAACTCTCAATAAATCTTTATTGGATTAATTTTTCAGTTTGTATTGATTACATCAACACGGAAATGACCAACCAATTTTGATTTTTTCAAGAATTGAATATATTACTTTTCAGAACAGTTTTCTAAAATTAATGTATGAATTGGGTTTTCAAAGAGTGATTCAAAGTCAAATTTTCAGTTATTTTGTATAATTCTGAATATCGAGTATTTCATGGTTTTTTGAATATAGCATTGTTCATCTAACAATAAATTATATTTTTGTCTTTCAGTGATATTAGTATCTGAAAAGATTATTCTTTCTATTACTTCCATTAGTTGAGTCTTTAATTTTAAATTAGGCTTAAAAATGTATGCTTTTCAATTTGGTTGATACATTTGTAGTTAATTTCAACATTAATTTCAATATCATTCATATTTTTCTCTTTGAAGATCATGTGAACCGTTTTTTCTAAACTTATTGTTAAATTGGATTGACTTCCCAATATTTTCTATATCATTATTTATATTTCTTTCCAATTAATTTTCAGTTTTTTCTGATCAAAATAGTGCAAGATCATCTGCAAATGAAAATTTATTATGATTCATAACTTTTCAGAAATTTGTTAATGAATGACGGGAAATAGTGTTGGAAGGATATAAATGAAATACAATCTTATAAAAAATTATTTAATTTTGTTGCCTTTCACTAAGCAGATATAAAGGACTTTGAAGCAGTCTTAGTAGCGTTTTCGAAAATATGTACACAATATGATGACACCATTACCATACAGTTTTTGTTGAGAACTCTTTCTTGGTGCTTATTTTCTCGAAAATCAAATTCACAAACAAGCATTATAACATTGTTAGTTTTTGTTAAGCAAGGAAAATCAAATTAGCATAGTGCACATATTTCTAACATCTTGTTTCTTTGAGAGATTTTTAAATATGAAATTGTCTTATTACGTACAATGGCGAATGTTCATCTACAAAGTTGATGAGCAAGATACATCTGAGGCTGGAAGTGGAAATAATGTTGAAGAAATATTCAAATAGAAAAAGAAAGTCAAACTGATAAAGCTACTGTGTAGCAAAATGCGTCTAAAATAAAATTTATAGTGTGAAAACTGGATAACTATTATCATGGATAGTGTTGATGATTTTCACCAAGTAACAGGTCAGTGTATTCATAAATGGAAATAAACAATCGATTCCAAAGGCTGTCCAAGTGAAAATGACTTCTTTAAACATCACATCAAAACCTTTTGAAGCCAGGAACACAATTTCCACTTCAGCTCAACTTCGATAACACCCATTTGACACAGTCTTCGCTGTCTCTCAAAATAAGCAGTCTCTTTAGCGATAAAACACCAACATTGATCAGGTCAACTGCTTCGTGAGGGCAGTAAGTATACTCTGAATGTAACATCAAAATGTAGCACAAAAAGTTTGGTTAGTAATGTTACCTGTGTTCTCGAACCATTTTATTAATAATGGAATATAAATATTTTGGAATGCTATCAAATCGAGTAACTTTGGCGGTCGGTTCTTAAGCAATTTCATACATTTTAGAACTTCTAGAAGTGATTTATGAAATGTTAAAATCCACTGGCCATAGTAAATGTTCAGAGTTGATTCTGTTAGCTATCAAAATTTGTGACAATTTATATAGAGTTAGATTAATTAGTTTGTGGTGAACCTGTTTGTTTTAAAGTCCCACCATAACGTCATTAATCCTTTAATGGTACTTTCTCAATTAAAATTATTGGTAATGACTACATGTGGTATCATAGTTGATTCAAGAATTACTACTATTATTAATATTGGTGTCTTTGAATACTAAAAAAAACTATATTTAAGTAACACTTCACTATATAGGGACACACCTGAATACGCTATTGTATAGCAAAACATATGTTGCCTTTCTGTAAAACTGTTTAATCGATCTCATAATAAAGTGATGCTCCAATACCTTGTGGATTCTCATCAAGTATCGGCCGATTCCATTACATATAGAAAAATAATAAATCTTATTAAACGTTTAATCCTAAATTCACTTTTTCAGGTTTTCTGTATATTATTGATAACTTTCAAATGCCTTTCCACAGGATAAAAGTACTCCTTTAAATAAATTTGGGCAAACATGTGTTATCTGGGATTCACCATAAAAACTTTTTAAAGCATTGTGAAACTTATTGATGACATAATTTTAAATATCACAATCTTTGAGGTAGTAAGGAATACTCACAACAAATCACAACTGTTCAGGAAACTAGCAAAAGTTCAGGATACTAGCAAGATTTTGAAATTAAAGTATAGTAATGATGATTTACGAGACCAAGTCCTTTTGAAAAAAATATATATGACCTAATCAAAATCATATAATAAAATTAATTATTATGAGAAATCCAAAAACGTGTAACTGTCACATTTGAAAAATTCTTTACTGCTCATAAAAATCCCATATGTATTAGAAAGTTATTTCTTTTGTTCGTAATTTTGTACATTAGATGCATTTGATAAAAGTTTCATTTTACTCAAGTCTTCAATTACCCAAGTCTGATTACCCGCGTGATTGAACGTGAATGAAATAGATCTATTTCAGATCTGTTTCTGTAATGTTACTAAATAAATCATTTGAACAATGTAGCCACACCCTCTAACCATCCATAGGATATTAAAAAATCATTAGGATAAAGTTAAGTTTCATTTTCTTCGAGTCACAATAAGTCCTTTTGTCTAATATTTTATGGACATTTCACATTACTTTGTTTCTAGAAATTTTCTGTCCGGCTAGAATCTCCATAATATGAATAGAAAGGTGATAAAATACAATATTTCAGAAAATGCATTTCTACAAGTCGTGTAACTGTGCTTAGTCGCGAGGATCAGTGCCGCAAGGTGGCGCAGTAAAATTCGAAGAAAACAAAGAAAATATCAACATTTGATTTTGTGGTAAAATTTTCACCAACATTAGTTTGTTGGTTTCAATTTTTTTTCAAAATACCTGTTGTTAAAATAATGTGGGTGGAAATATTTTATTTTGGAGATGATACTGTAATGTTACGTTTTATTTATAGAGTGAAATCATCAATGTTGTAGTATTTACTATAAACATACATTAATTTGTATATTAGTTTTTGATTCTGAGTATAATTTTCCATTTCCTTGCTGATTTTGGATCTTAGGAAAAACTGTGCGTGGACACATTTTCTGATACCTACATAATTATCCACAAGCTTTTAGAACAATGCCTTCGGCTTTACTTTCACTAGTTATCACTAAAACCAAAACACCCAGAAGACTATCCCTTATTTTCCCTCTGCGGTTACAACTTTTTTAGTGTTTTCCAGGGTATTTACAAAATAACTTTAAAATCATAACCTTGATGATCATGCTTTGAAGAAACATGTACTAATCATTCAACAATTCAATCAATATATTTTGAGGTTACCTTAATACTTATATTGTAAGTGAACCAGTCAATTTATCAAGGTATGCATAACTCGATTTGATAGCAGAACTTCAGTATTAGTTGAAATGTTAGCCAAACTAAACAATCAATAGACACAGTATTACTATCAACTGATTCTATTAAACGCTAGTTTCAACTGAAACATAAATTAATTAAAAAAACTTACGATACTGAAGATATATCACTACATAAAAATCTGGAATGAATCAAACATTCTATATACTCATTTTAAAATAACTATTAGGCAAGTAGTTTCACCTACTTGGCAATAAATAGAAGGCAGTAAGTAGTTTCATTTGAATGTTTCTGGTTGGGTACAGGTTGATCACAATGTAATAACAATTGAAACAATCCTCAATTTGAAATTTATAGAATAAAAGAAGTTCTGGTGAGGACATATAACTATAAAATATAAAATGCCAATTATTCCTCTCATGTATTGTAATTGTAAGAACATTCATATGATTAGAAATTTGTATTTCTCAAACAAATTAAATCAATTACTCACTTCTTGTTGTATTAAAGAAGCAGAGAATGTATAATATCTGTTTTTTCTTGTTAAAGATTATTGGCCATTGATCAACATAAGAAGTATTCGGCTAGATAGTATTTTTATATTTATCCGGCCTGGTTACCGTCGTAAATACTGACAATACTGCATCACAAATGAAAGTCTTCCGTATTACATCAACATTTTGCATCCACTCATCGAGAACCAAGTTCCCAAAGAACATAATTCAGTTTTGACATGAATTAAGTCAAACTACAGATCTACCAGCGAAGCTTTTGTGCATATCATTTGGGTCAGTCCCAATTGTGAGTCAGTGCATACACAGGTTCTAGATCTTTTGAAAACCTGTCACAGTTGAAAAAATACTGCACATATTGAAACAGTTCAGAAAAAAAAAATGATAACTGTAAAAGGAATGTAGGAAATGTGAGCACAGATATAACCTTGTATAATAAAGAGGAGGACCTCTTGAGAATTTGAGAATGAAGAAGGAAATACATCTTAGAGGATAAAAAATGTTCACATACAAGTGTTTCCTAATTAAAGGCTAAAATCAAACACTTAAGATATGGTGATACTGCTTGAAATGTATAAACTTTTTTGAAAATTCCTGAGGGAATTTATGAATAACCAAAGAATGTAAGCTTTCATGCAGTTTTATTATTAGGATTTTCTGGAGAGTGTACAACAGGTACTAAAAACAATGCACCTTTCTATGGCTGCTTGCACATATTAGGTGAAATTTTGAGATATGCCCATGCACTGCTACCTGAAGTGGGCATAAACCCCTGTAGTAATGTTTCTTTTTCGGGAATGAGCGCAATTTTCATAGTCAAAAATATTATTCATCACAAGATGTGGAATAGAAATGGTTTATAATGAAATTAAGACAACAAAACTTCAAAGTGAAAAAAAATCGTTTCATTCCATTGTTGTCAAAGTGTAGCTTTTTATGATCTATATAAGGTAGCCGGGCGGTTCGACATGGGTGTTTTGTTCACCGAGTCAATCGTCCGATGTGTCACTCAGTGGTTCAAACCGCAGCTATCGTCCAACCCTTGTTAGGAATCACACGTATGGGTACGATAGGTGGTTAGATTGATATGGGGATTCTGGGCTGAACAGTCTCTACACTGTGACCTTTGCAGTGTAGTGTGCACGATAGGTGGTTAACAGAAAAAACATATTTTAAACACATATATTGTGTAGCAAATTGTTGAATTAATCCAGTGGGGTGTAGTAGTGTACTGAGAGACATGAAATTTTAGCAAACTTCACAATTGCCAGTAACAACCTTGCTTTCATAGTCAGAGATAACCTTACCAGCGAAATTTTCCACGTTTGTTGGCTGTGGTCTGCAGGTTATTAAAACGTATGTTTTGTCTACAACTGTGGCAGACATTATCAAGAATATTGAGACAACGGACACAGTTCTCAAGTTGTTCTCAAAGAGCATGAGCATGTAAATCAGAGGAGTGTAGCAGTGAGCTGAAAAAATGAAAAGTAAACATCACAATTGTGTAGCCAATAACAAATCTGCTTTCGTAGCCAGAGAAAACCTCTCCAAAACAATTTTCCAGGTTTGTAGGTCATTTTCTGCAAGTTATTGTAGATGGTATTTCATATCAAGAGCAATGAGAAAACAGACACAGTGCTTTGGTAGTCCTCATATGGCATTCTACATTATTCGAAGTTCGAGACGACAGCTTTATTGGACTTCTGACAGAATCTTTCAGGACTGGCTCACTCCAAGGCGTTTATTCACCCTTCGAAGCTTGATACCAAACAGTTGTTGGACTACAGTAGGGATGAACTACGATGTCTAACAGGCCTTCTTACAGGTTACTGTCATTTGAATCATCATATGCAGAGATTCGGAATGTCGGAAGACAGTATGTGTCGCCTTTGTTTGGAAAATGATGGAATATCAGAGCACATACTTTGTGCCTGCCCCGCTGGGGACCGAATGAGCTTTTTAGAATTCGGCAGAGCCGTACTCTTACCATCTGACCTGAAAGACCACTCACCTTACAAACTACTCGGCTTCGTTAAGAAGCTGGGTCTATTTCATCGAGTGTGAATAGGTGTGAGTCACAATAAACCCTTACGGGTTGCGGTGGAGGGTCGAATACACCCACTCACTATGGACCTAACCTAACAGCTTTATTGCATCTGTGGTAGGCGTGGTTTCATTTCTATTTGTTGACTTAACGGGAATAATCGGTAATGAACAATACAAAAAGTTTTCAATACTGTATAGGATTGAGTGGAACCAATATTGAACAATACATTTTGATTCAATGTTCGCAGGAAACTCATTTATGAAATATAATTTTGAATTTACTGATGTGAAAATAAACAACTTTTAGTAGTAAAATGAAACAAATATTTAGCAAAAAATCCAACACTTCAATATTATGTTTTCTCTGATTACTTTTCAGAATACTTCGTGATCCGACCGTACCTAACCTCGAAACGGTTCAACAATTTCATATTTAGTTACATAAGTCTTAACCTACTTGCTCGTCAGATAGGAAAACATCGAAAGGGGTAAATCAAAGGAGAAGGAGGAGACAGAGGAGATGGAGGTTCAGTTAAGAGAATCCCGACGGGAGAGATGCGTACGTCTCGTTTCCGACGCGGGAGAGGGAGGGGAGCCGAGGTTAGCCGCCGAGGGTAGACTAGTACTAAAATACTTCGGTGTTAGGGGTGATTGCAAGTGCCTGTGTCTGATCACTTCACGCTCCACAGGATCTATGCCACAGTCCTGAAATAAAAATTAAATAAATATCATTATATTTGATTTGTACAATTTGGAACTTCTGGTGTAAAATTAATATGTTGAAAATACTTTTGCCTCACCAGAACAAAAATACTGTCTCTAAACGCACGTGTATTATTATATTGTTGGAACTCTTAGTTCTGTGAATATATACCAAAATTTCAAACTACTTCCATAAAACTTGTCCCCCTCAAATGCATACTTCTGTGTACGAGTAGACACAGAAATTCGATGAATTGAAGACCATTTCATCTACCTACTAGAAATGTATCCCCATTTATATATACTGTGTTATATCCGATTATTTTGAATAAACGCAAATGTTATTAAATTTGTAACAACAGAAATATCACCTTCGTAAACAGAATTTATTGTTATTTCGTTTAGAACAGATGTTATCCCAAAAATAACCAAAGTTGAACCACATTTTGAAATGAGAAACAAAAAAGTTTCAGATAATTATCAACTAATTTCAATATTAGCAAATTTGTCTGAGATTTATGAAAAAATTATGAAATGAAGTCACACAGAATCTGCCATATTAGATTCAATAACCATCTGAAATTAGATCAAAATTGTCATTGTGGATTAATATTAATCAGTTCTGTTAGAATCTATATTTCCGTTAACCAGCTATTGCCACCCTATGAACAAAACTCAAAAGTCGAAATTTGTGCGAGCTGAGGATTAACGGGATCTTACCTTTCAACGTGAGATTTATCAAGTTCAATGTTACACAGTGAAAATTGATCGCATTACAAACTGGCACATACTAAAGGAAACAAAACGATGTGGTTACTGCTTCAAACAACCTAAACTTTTGATGAACAACTGCTTTTATTTTGGAAATTCAATTTTGTGTGCATATTAAGAGTTATTATCGAAAGTCATATTTTATATTCCATTGTTCAACTCCGATATCTGCAATTTAATTATTCAAGATGTGGAACATTAGACCGTCACATCTAAATATGCAGATATGATATAAAATGTATTTACTGTGAAATATGAAGTGCCTGCATTTTCTTAGTTGTGAAATCGTAGGGACTTTTCAATAAGCAACAAGTGAACAATGTAAACAGTGAAACGGTCTAAAAATTAAAGAAATTGCTGATAACTATCCTTTGTTCAACTATCTCACTTCCAAGTACTGACTGCAAGCTATCATCCAAATGAAAGCTATCTCTGACTAGATGCAAACGTTAGCTGTCTTGTTTTCATTTTTTACATGAAGAAGAAAAAGATGCTATATGAAAGTATGTGTTTTATCACGTATTTTGTTGATGACACATGCAATTCATTCATTGTCTCAACGATAATATACACCCTTTTGAAAACCTAGAAACATAGCATTTGGTTACAGAAGTGGGATAACTGGTACTGCAGAAAAAATACAGTCAGTGTTTGAATACCAGTAAGTTACTGGGGTGATAATGGGTCAAAACTCATTTGGAATATAGAGGAGACTGACCCACATGGTGCCAATTATTCACTAATAGAGTAACATGAGTATACTCTGATTCAGATATAGTTTTAGAATAGTAAAACATCATCTCAATGAATTTGTTTGTTTTCCAAAGAAAATACAACCCTGGCATTCAAAAATTTGTGTTTGCAGTTTTTTCTTGTAATAATAAGCGTTTACATTCCCGTGGGATTCTACTCCAATGTTTATGGTGTAAAAATATTTGTGATGGACATACCTGCAGAGATATTCCCTGGTCTCAGGATTCCGCGCTTTTACTCTTCCGACCTCTAAGGGACCCTACAATTGATTTCAAAGCTGCTCCAATACTGCTGCCAGGCGTGCTTAAATTCGTATTACTACCACCCAATCCTTGAGGGTGTGCGTCCAAGCATTTCTGATACCTCAGCTGAAATGTTGACAAAATAGAAAATTTTCAACAGAAAAAAGCATTACAAGTAGAACATTGAAATATATTTGAAAAAAAAGATATTGCATAGAAAGTTAACAAATCAACAAATTTCTAAAATACTTTCTTACCTTGCAAGCTGCTTCAATAGTTTTACATAAAGCGCCCGAAGACGGTTCACAATAAAAAACATGAGACACGAAAGTGTCCTGTGCAGTGTGCATGATGAAAGCACAGTGTTTTATTACTTTTCCTATTCCAAGAAAAGATAGATATCTAACTCTACATTCTGCTAGGAGACGGTCGTCCTGTGGAAAAAAAGATTCACAAATATCAGGTAATCCTTCGATCAGTCAAAATATACTTTATTGTCTTAAGAGGATAAAACATGAAACAACAAATTACAAATAGCACACTGCAAATTCAGTAATTATGACAAAATCACGATTGAAATCATACTCACAGAAAACTTAAAAAAAAACATTATCAAAACTCTCACAAAGCTTGGCTTAAGGGTTTCAAGCTGGCAAAGTGTAGGACTCAATTTTAAGCGGGTTTGAGGCTGATTTTTGTCACGATGCATATGAAATTTATGAGATAAGCGAGCTTAAGGTCAAAGCCAGTCTTAATACAATACGGAAATTTCTACAAGAATCTCTGACACCATTTGCAGTACAAATAGAGAGTTAAAGCCCAACAGTAATCTTACTATGTGATACCAAAGATGTCTTGCTCTCAAATCAGAGACATCTTAGGACATTAAATTTCAACAAAACATTAATTAATACTTCCAGAAATTAATTCATTTTCTACGATAGCATCATTTATGGGAAGTTCATCAAGCAAGCATTCAAATGAAATAATGTTCAGTTATGAAACGTTTAATGATAATACACTAACTGACCATTATCAATATCAGCGAATGAAATTGACATATCTCAGATAGATTTTTGATATGCAACAAAAATAGAATAGGAACTAAACATGAAACCTAGTCATGCCAGTTTTTTTCTCTTTAATAGTCACTTTCACAAACTATATCTTACAAATACTTTCATAGGACCAAATACAATGCTCCTATGAAAGTGTATAATATATTTACTTACTTACCATTAGATGAAATAAAAATAATTCCGATTACTCACACTTGGATGATGAATGCTTATCATAGAAGGTGCTATCGATATATTAACAGGCTGCCACTGTTCCACGGGTACACTAGAAACGAGCCTCTCTATAGATTCATTGAGAATGTCCATGCCAGTAGCACTGGAGACCTGCGTGCTACCAAGATACTGGGCTCGGAGTATTTTCTTTGGTTCTTCCATTGGCGTCGGAAATGACTGAGCTGTGAAATGAAACGTCTGATGCAACAGAAAAACAAAAGAGTATGCTAAAATAGAACCAGCCACAGTAATCAAAGAATTGAGAACGGAAAAATAGTCGATTCATATTCTGCCAATTGGTGTCGAAGTTTAGACGTAACTTCATTGAGGGGAAAGTCGACTTTGAGGAAAAATTCAGAATACGCAAGGGAAAAGAAACTGGAATGATACAAGTAATTGAAGTGTGTCACAAATACCCAACCTGACCTACGATTCATGACTTATTATAACTTAGAACTCTCTGACCTACTTCGAATACCTACACATCATTGCATTTTGAAAACTCCAACTGGCTTAGTTGACAGTTGGAGTGGTAATAAATTGAATAGGTGAAATACTAGATATGTGTTTGATATGTTTTTGTATATAATATTCGGTATGCTAAACATGATTTTATTGAATAAGTTGAAGTCCATAAAGTAATTATTAGCATGTAAAATGGTACCTCATTTCGCTTTTGATTAAGTTCATGTGATTGCATAACGAATTAAATAACTTTCCTTTAGTAAACGCCTGAAGTTCCAAAGTTATAAAGAATATAATGAACTCTTTTACTGACATAATGGCTGTATAAAGTGTAATCAACAAGTCATTAAAGAAATGGCATGTTACGTGTCGAAGAACCTCAATACACATTGGTCATATACTTACAAGCAAATATTTGAGAATTTCTAGTAGGACGTCTGTGTTCGGTTGGGAGATTATTTGGTCTGGTAGCGAGAGGTTTTCCATTTATGTCTATGGCCTTTCCCAGGTTCTGCTGCAAACTCCTTTCTATCATTATCTTCTTGCAAATATCCCTCAGAGTATTGGCGATGGTTCGTGCGGGCATGTCGCATCTGAAGACGTGGCACATGTGTTTGCGTGTCATTCGATCTCTTGCCACGTAAGCAAAATCCCTATAAGGAACAAAAAGGCGTTATTCAAATAATAATTTCGAAATAAAACAAGACAGTTGAAGCAAACTCTAAAACTATCCAGATGTCTTATGAAAAACATTTACCTTTCTCTGTTCATTCCAAGCAGCAAAAATAAAAGAGGATAATGAAATTTTTTGAGTTTGAAATGAAGAAAATTTCATGATTTAGAAAAATCAACAAATGAGTTGTTCAGAAAATAACGGAAATTTTTAAATTTCACGGGTTTGGAAAGTGCGATTGTCAATTTTCATTATTGTGTTGGTATACATGCCTCCAAAGTATGATAACATTTTCAGCTATATTCTATGTTTACTTTGTCAGACAAGTTTTTGAGAGCTCGGCAATTTTCGTTTGTTAAAACAAACGGGTCAAAGAACTTGTATCAAATTTTGCGTGTAACAAATTGTGTGAAATACTTTGATTAAAACATGAGTTTACGAGTGGTCCAAAGGTTAGTCCAAAGTGAATGGGTCTATTCGACCCTCCAACGTACAAGTGGTATAAGCTTTTCCAAGATGGCAATAAAGACGTTGAAGATGACGAATACCCCGGACGCTCCAGCTCATCCGCAACCAATGAAAACAAGGAGAAGTGAAAGAATTGGTTATGAGCGATCGTCGAATCATAATAAGAGCAGTCACTGATGATGTTGGCATATCGACTGGCTCATGCTTTGAAGTGGTATGAATGATTGTTCTGAAATTGTTAAGTTTTGAACAAAAACAACGGCGCATGGAAGTTGATCAAAAAGTCACTGAATAAAGTCAACAACGATGCAGAATAACTGAAACGTATTGAAACAGGTGACAGAACATGGGTTTACAGATATGACTTCAAAACTATGGCTCAATCGTCCTAGTGGAGGAATTTTGGCTTACCAAGACCGAAAAAGGATCGACAAGTTCGGACAAACGTGAAGTGCATCATGAATCCATGCCAAGGGTCAAACAGTCAATGAGGAGTTCCTACAAATTCAACGCCGTTTGCGTGAAGCAAACAATTCACGGCTCTTGCAGCACGATAATACACCTACTTACACTTCACACAATATGGTAATGTTGCTTCAGCTTTAATATTCGACAAACATGGATCCTTGTGGCTTTTTCCTATTCGCACAATGAAGAGAACCTTAAAAGGCCACCGATTTTTTGAGAGCTACAAGCTCCCAAAAATCGAGTTTGAGAAGTGTTTCTAAGATTGGAAGAAGCACAGACACAAGTGCATGATATCAAAAGGGGACTATTTTTAAATCGATAACATTATAGTAAAAGAATGAATAATTTTTTTTACAAACGAAGATTCTGTTATTTTTTGAACATACTTTGTGAAATCAAGATCTGATACTGAATTCGACAAAAATAACAAAACAACTACATCAATATTGATCACTGAAAATAACTATGACCCTAGCAAAACTACAGTTAATCAAAATATTTCAACTTTTCTATCACAAAATTTCTAATACGGTTCCAGCAATTTCTACATCTATATTCTTTATTAGGTTAGTTTATGTATCAAACACTCTACATAGAGTATTGCAGTGGCAATGACGTCAAGATCATTGTAAAGCAGACAGTTCTAACCTTCCGTTATCTCTTCCCACTCCCCATACTCTGATCGTGTGAATCGGCTGGGTATTCAAAACAGTCAAATTCTCTGGATCAAACAACTTGAGAGCACCTTCATCCAAATCCATAAACAGATCCTTGCCCTGCAAACATAACAATAATGGATCATTACAGTTTTCTATATGAATGCTGCTTGAAATATGATTCCACAAAATATCTTTATACAATAGTAGCAACAGACAATCAAAATAAAGCCAATAAGTATCAGTATATTTTTCTTGAAAAAGCCCAGGCTGGTGGTACAACACTATCACAGAAAACAGTGAGATCAACTCTAAATAATAACAAGATCAAGTATAAAACAATATACAAGACAACATTTTGTCGTTTTAAACCAAGTTTGTATATGATATCAGCGTCATCTGCAAAGCAATGAATTTTACAAAAATAAGTACAAACTACCTCTATTGTTTTAAGTTTTGACACACTACTTATAACATATTATGGGTGTCATGCAAACGTTCTTACATCGCCCCATCTTCCGACGACATCTAGTAAGTCGTTCTTTCCTAGAGACAGATCTACAATGCACTTATTTACAGCTTTACTGCTACGTTCAGGAGTCAGATCTTCCTCGGATATCTCAACCCATCCGAGTGATCTGACGGCGAACCTGATTGGACGTTCTTTTACTTCTTGGTCGGGTTTCGAAGGAAAACTCCTCCTCCTGAAAACAAATCACTGAAAACAACAATCTATAGAATATTTGTGCCCACTCTGGGCGCCAAATTACATACATGGATGTGTCATTATAGAATGCTTAATCCATTAATGCTTATGATTGGAAATATAATAATGGTACTAATCTTATCTAAATAATAAAAAACATGAATGTTATCATTAAACTTACTGCTATTCTAATCTAAAAATGTGAAGAACAAAAATACACATACAATCACAATGCGGAGCAAAATTTGAAGTTAAGTTTGGTTTTAATAGTTCTGCTTGGCCATCATGAACGCACAGAGGGAAAAAAGCATGTTTCACCTCAAGGAACTTTTCAAAAATATTAAATCTTTTTCCGCGAGAAGCGAAAAAAAAAGATTAATCATACTACTACTTTTAGGAATGTCTCATTAGTGACGCATCTAACTATATATAAAAATTCTCACTTTCATTCTCGCATATGAATATTCCCTTGTTGAAAATGTCACTTACTTTAAAGCTATATCTTCCTTTCTTTTCCTGTCGTCGCTTTCCAAGTCTAGCGCTGAACTGGTACTACTTCTAGTAACCGACATGCAATTCTCGAAAGACGAAATTAGATCGTTCTCCTTGAAATTGCATTTCGAGTCAGACTTCTCTATTTTAGTTTCAACGACTGGTATTTCCCTCTGGATAGTTCCACTTTTGATGTGCCAGTAGTATGGACCATCATTATCTGTGAATACGTCAAAATAATGAAAATGAGAATTTCATTAAGAAGTTATAAAATACAGTAGAATCCGGTTATAACGACCTTCAAGGGATCGGATATACCTAATATGTTGTAACTAACCTGACGACGCACAAAACGGCAAGATTATTTCTCAAGTATAGTGTATATGAAGTCAATTCGAACGGCATGAAAACTAAATAGTTAGCGAATGTCGGCGGTTTCTTTGTATGGCATGGTTCAATTTCTTTTTATTTTATTTTTTTTTTCATAAACCTACACGATTTTTTTAGTAGTAAAGAGTACATTAGTTCGATAGTCTTTTACTTAGCTGTTCAGATATCATCGACAAACGCGTAATGTTCAAAGTCCTAGATTGTTATGGGTAACTGATGCCTGTCAATAGCTCTCGCCCAAATGCTCAGCGGTTCGTCGTCTTCTTCTTTAAAATCATCTGCGTTTGAATTTATGCTACATTCTACATTGCTTCGCACAAAACCAGCGTGTTTGTAACAGTTGAAAATTGTCCCCTGCTTGAGTTGATTCCAGGCATCTTGAATCATTAGAATACTATCAAGAACAGTGATCTTCAGGTCCGGGATTAATTTAAAAAACAGCCCGGTCTCATCTGCATTGAAAATTTCATCATGTCTAAATTGCGCACGTAGACTTGGCCAAATTTTTTCTAACCAATCAATCACATCACTCTGTTGAACTGACTCGCCAGCAATCTTACCACTGACGATGTTGTGTCTTACTTTGAAATGGTTTATCTAACTCATGGAGCATGTAAAATTTTGCATGTCTAACTGTCTATTCAAAAAAGGTTGCTTTCTCTTGTAGCAGAGGTCCATTAACGGCTATACCCCGGTCGCACCGAAGCTTGAACCACTGTAACAATGCCTTATGTAACTGCCCATGAATAGAAGTCCTTACACGTTTGCATTGGCATTAAACAGCAGCTCGATTTTCATTCCTTAGTTGTGGATATTTGTAGAATGAGATACGCCAAACTCCTGTGCGAGGGCTACGATTGATTCAGCGGCTTTTATTCGGTGTAGTATTGCACTTTTTTCTTCAACTGTATTGGTATTGGTGCGTAGGTTGTGTAAACAAAACATTGCGCGATGTTTTAACCGGACGTATATTATCAAAAATGGTCGCTAAAAGCAGTTGGTCCCTTAAACCGGAGTCGCACTACACGATTATATTTTCTTAATACCTAAGTATGAAACTCAAGTTGAGTAAACATTATCGTCAGTAAAAACGGTTAATTGTTGAAAGCGAAGTCGTTATATAATAATTCTGTATGTTTATTTTATCAGAATGATTATGCCAACATACCTTCATGCTTTTCCCACCCAGGGGGCAATTCGTTCTGGCTGTCCCATTCTTTTTCTGGACTATTCAATTTATCTAAATCATCGTGAGATTTTGGGCTACATTTTTTCATGGGTACAGCGTATAGGTCATTGGTTACATTTCCAACGATGTGTTTGATGCCATTATCCTCTTTTGCTAACACTCGCTTCTCACATAAACTAAAAAACAGATATCAGTATCAAATCTGGAAAATCAATAGTGATTCTGTTTCAAAATAAGCAACTAGTAGGGTAAACATTGGAGTTACTAGACACACATCAGTGAAACATTTCTGAAGTCATATCAAAATAAAAATGTATTTATCCTATGACATAATCTACGCCGTCACCGATTTGTTATATCTGCAAAGGTTTTAATACACACAAATTTTTGAAATTTTTCAAAACATGGTTGGTTTTTGTCATAAGTTTTTTACAATTTTAGTTATTTGTATCTCGAAAACGAATGATTTTTCGATAAACATTTTATTGGAAAAAGTTGTTTATTTTGACGAGATCCACAACATACTTAGTTTTTGTGATGTTCTCAGCAACTTCACTTAGCGCCCTAAGAGCCAAGTAATATGCATCGATAAAGAAAATTGTAATTATTGTTTTGTATTGTAATTGTAATGATTATATATCAAAGGTTTATTAGGGCACTCAGTAGTACATCGCTTGAGTATTTCAACGTACTTATGTTACACTCTGTATAGAGAAAATTCAAAACACTATAACACAAGTGTTGGGTTAATTCTGTAATTATGTCAATTGGACATTGAGATCCGAAAGAAAACGTTTTCATGTTCCCCAATTTTACGACACATCCGCGAATATTTGCTACTCAATTTACAACTGATACAATTTCCTCGACTACATAGTTTACCCTACTATTTGCCTCTATCCAAATAAAATACGTAATACTCAAAATAAAACATTTTGCTTTTGACTACTAAAGCTTTGGATGCAATGCGAAACTGCTACCGAATTAATGAATTCAAAAAGATTCACATAATTTACATACTTTTCCCAGTCAGTAGAACTTTCACTCTTGCCTTTATCAGACATCGAATTGCCATTCCATTCATTACCCCTACAACAAACAATAGGAACTACCGTTTGGGAAAGTTTTCAATATGTTTTCCATTTGATTTGTTCAACAGCGTAATTGTGCCGTTGTAGAATAATGAAAAAATCTGTCAATTGACACTTTTGAAGTCAGAACTACCAAAAAAAAATAGTTGAAGTTATTTTCCGAAATCTACAAAACACAGTCTGAAGATGGATTTCCACCAAACGGGCAGAACCACAACAAACAGCAACTGTATGGATTTTGATAAAACAAAAACTTGAGTTGTCGAAATAAAAAACATTTTTCAGAAATGTGAGAGTGTATTGATATGTTTAGGTAATAAATAAAGTTATGTTTACTCTGTTCATTAATAGGTATACATGCATAAATTTTATCATCACTTTGAAATAAATGTGACGACGTATTTTCATTTGAACAAACATTTAAAACTATAGCGATTCTAAGCCGGCTATGCATTTTCCATATCTAATGATGTCATACCCAAACTGAGGATGTTTTCTGAAGTATAGGATTTTTGAAGACATTTTTTGACAATAAAAAAATGAAAGAGCCCATTGTGCGAAGTTAATAAGTTTATTGTTTATTGATTTGAAAACTGCTTGGTTCAAGATTTAATGGGTAGAGTGTATAGGTTAATTTATAGAGTTTAAGATTTGAGTGTGGTCATAAAAGCTCAAGGATTCAGATTCTATAGCCAAAAATGATATAGAAAACATAGGAGTAAATTTATCCTGATAATTTTTTGTAGTCATTGAGTTATTAAAACCGTCGAATCCTACCTTCTGTTATCAACATAGTTCTGGGTCAGAGGACCCGTACTGATGTCCACTCCCATGGATCCTATATCGAGAGCGGCATAAGTTTTCCTACTAGCATTGCTCGTTATGGGTCCTTTCACCCCGTGACCCATATTGCAGATATCGTCGAGTTCTTGATAAATGTCTTCGTATATATTTTCCGTATTAGAGTTTAGAGCATCGTCAAGACGGCTTGACGGTCCCAGATGATAGTTGGGATTTTCGTAACTCAGGAGGCCATTTTCTGGAAAACGAACATATGAATAGAGTATACAGAATGATGCGACGGAAGCGAAAATGTGTTTTCGGTTTTATGGCGTGGTTTCTCCGTGGTAATAATTGAAATTAGGTTTAGTGCTAGCCACATTTTCCAGTCTCGACGATTTTTCTGAACACAGAAGAGGAGGAGGCTACATTTATGATTCTCACTGCTTCTGTTTTAATCGTTTTCATTAATTTTGCAACATTTAGGTTGGATTCATGCAGCAGTATAAAGTCGTATGTCACAAATTTTATGTCATAAAAATTAATGGTTTTCATTTTTATTACTACCACAAAGTTACAACTTTTCGTGAATGATATAATTAATATATCTATGTATTTCTTGTTAGTTTCAACGTTAATCTTAGTCCTCAATTATAAAATTTCTCTATTTTCGGTTTGTTAAACATTGTTTGATTTTAATGGAAAGTTCTGTATTCTTTGCGAATTGAAATAAATCACTGACCCAAATGTTGAAAAGTATCTTTCATTGTGTAAAAAGAAAAATAACAAAAAAGTAACCGGTATTCTTTTTATCATTATAAAGATACATGTTGACTTGCTAATTGAAACAAAAGTTTATAAACTGTAACATTATATTTGACAAAGTTCTAATTTAGTGAAGTTGGATTTTATACAATCACATTAAATCTAATATATTTTAGTATCTGAAGGAACAATTTTTCATTGATTCAATTCACAAATCTGACAAAATATCATATATAGAATATTTTATCACCCCATATTGAAAGTCGTATATTTTCTCAGTGTTAGTGTTATATAACAAAATACGTTCATTAAACGGGATACAGTGTGACTTTGTCATTTGCATCTATCTATGTGCATAAAAAACATAATCTCAGTTTTGATTGAACTTATTTTGTGATTTTCTGATCGATTATAAGGGTGACTTTGTGAACGTGTTATTATTATACACCATAATAATTAAAAAGGATTCCCCAAAGCTTAGTTGAATAATTTGCCATGCAATGATGGTTGCGGTTTTATTTTTGAATAATGCATTGATTGCATCGGCGTAGATGCGGGAGTTCAAAGCCAGGAGGTAATAACATAATATGTATATAGAAATTTCGTGAGGATGAAATACGCAAATGCAGAATGTATAGAATGTTTCAAAAGTTTTGTCCGTTTTTATGTCTTGTGTTTTTATAGCTTCATATCTCAATAAATATTTATTTTACTGTGTCGTGGTGTATAGTGATCGATAGAAAATCCTGTACTCTATACATCGATGCTGTTAATTTTTTTTCCAAATTTTAATTTTTTGTCTCTTTTCAGCTTATTACTTACAATATGTCTTTGGCAAATTTTTATCTATGAAATTCAAATTGAACCAAAGCGCTGCCGATACTTCCCAAAAATCAAGCAGGCATTTGGCAATGATAGCGTTAAAAACGCACTGTTCTACATTGGTCTGTGAAGTTTCGTTCCGGAGATTTTAGCCTCGAAGAAGAGCCCCAAAGTAGTGGACCTACAGTACTCATGACGCAGATTTGAGGATCCTGGTGGAGATTGACACATTACAAACGGTGCGTGGGATGGGTCGAGGTCTGTTCTCTTTTGCTTTTGCGCAACCCTAACGATTTTTTATTGAATCATGACGTGTGATGAAAAGTGGATCCTCTACGACCACAGGATACGTTCAAGACAGTGGTTGGACACCGATGAGTCACCCAGGCACTTCCCAACGGCGAAAACCCACCAAAAAATTACCACGATTACTGTATGGTGTTATATTTCACTATAACTTTCTGTAACCGAGCCAAACCATCACGGCAAAATCCTATTGTGAGGATCGACAGAAGAGATCCTATCCTGCTCCATCACAACGCCCGTCCGCACGTTTCACAAATCATCTTCTGTAAATTAGAAGAATTGAGCGTCAAAGTTCTGCCTCACCCTCATACTTCCCAGACCTTTCGCCAACCGACTACCATCTTTTCAAGCACGGCCTACGTCGATTTCATCGAATCCTGAGCATCCTATTTTTATGCTGACGAAATTAATCTACTTGTGTTACGTTGGCAAAATTGCACTGATTCAAATGTCGCTTATTTCGATTACATTGAATAAGTAGGAGTATTCGCTGAGATATTACAGTTTAAAGTAAACTCATAAAAACGAAAAAAACTTTTGAAACATCCTAACATAATCTTGATAGCTTGACGAAATTCTTGGTTTCATATTTTATCTAAAATGAAAAATTGAGGAGTTCATTAATTTATGAATAAATAGCGCTTTTGGTTATTTCATTGAGTAGAAAATTTGACCTACACTGAATTGGACAAAAATGAAAAAAGTAGTTTCTTTGAAATCACATCATGTTGATTGGAACGGAGTCAATCCTCTGTTATATTCATATTGCACTAGCATGAAAGCTTTTTTTTGTAAAAATGGTGTTGCTTTTGTGATACGGTACCAAGCAATATTTGTAAACCATTATTTCTCTTATGAACCTATTCACCTATAATGTTTCAAAACAAAAATTGTGCCAGTGTTGCCAAGCTGATAGTGAATCAACCCACAGAAATTGTAGCGCCACGATTTGGTCGCCCCATCCTGGTTTAAATCTATTCTAAAGTGCATACAAGTATTTACATTTGAGAGCAAGCCGGTGCCACCTACGCATGAATTCCTTCAGACTTTTTTATCTTTTTGACTTTCTATCGTTTCTATCATTTTCCAAAATTGTGGCATTCGAAAAATATTTTGCGAGCGTAAAAATCAAGGAATAATTTTCACCAATAAAAAAATACATGCAAGTGAATATTATCATTTTTCACTAAATCTACTATTAAAATAAATTAACGATCATGTTTATTCATGTTTATTCATTCTAATATTGATTCTGATATTTTAGGTGGAAAATAATTTTCCTAAATCTCGTTCTTCAACTTAGGGAAGTATTCTCGGTATAGTGAAGAGTCAGGTTAACCAAACCTACACTTTTCAAATTTAATCGCGAGACTACTTTCAGCAATTTTGACATAAGTTTGTTGAAGAATTTTACTTTTTTCAGGTATCACTACAAGAATCTTGTGTTTTATAAAGCTAGGCTTAATTTAATAGGGTGAATGACATAAATATTTAAAATGAGATGTATTTTTCCGCCGTGCTTAGTAAAGCTTAGCTTTGTTCGATATATAGAAAATATGGCCCTCTAACACTTTATATTTCAGATGAGAGGAAAATAATACAAAATTATAGTCACATATGGTGAGGAAATAAACTATGAAGACTCGAAGCCGTACCCAGTAAATAAACTAGACTGAGAAAGATACACTTCCTCATATGAAAACTTTTGTTCATTTTTTATTGGTTGAAAGTAACCAATTGAATTCTTTATAAATCTAACTTTTCAATGTTTCAATAATTGTGTGAAAACTATCTACCTGTTTTTTTTTCGGCCGTGGTATGAAGGTTTTCATGCCTGACGTTTCGTCTATTTCTGCGGTAGACATTATCAAAGGCGATGTGGTAACTGTCGCAGTGCCCGACAAAAACAGTCCCCTACAAAAACCACGGCCTGCTGCGAATATTTTTATAGGTTAAAATTCAAGAAATGTTATTAGCCATTTTTTAGGAAAAATTCAAAATCACCATTGGTCTGGGCGCCCTCTAAAATGCTGGAAAACCAAATTTCATAACAAATATTCAATATTATTAATTCTGTTGCTGAATAAAAAACATTACCATACAACCCAATTAAGATTATCCCCAGACCAGTACCTTGAATTTTGGGACGAGTCTACTCCATTTGTCATGAACGGTATCACTAAACAAAATTGTTTTGAAGAAATGTATATCATTCAAATATTTTCCTTGAGCATAATTCTAACCTTTTTTCTTCATCTCCCGGTTCCCGAGTGTGAATGGTTTGATTTTATTTTTTACAAGGCATCTCATAATATTTTCTCTAAGGATATTTAAGTTCAAACTAGCCGTTCGCAAGCATGAATGAGGATTATTACGAAAATATTGCAATATTCGCAAACCATTTCTATTCTCACGATGTGGATTGCTTCTTTTTTTGAGCGTATGCCTCGACACCCAACCTGTTTCGTTAAAAACATAATATATACGGTTCACCGTACTGCTGCTCACTGGAAGTTTATCAGGATGTTTGTTATGAAATTATCTGGCAGCTTCTCTTGCCCAAAGAGCATTATCTCCGACAAGGCGCACAAGTTCAATTTCATCTCGCACACTTAGTTCTCTCATGATAAATCACTAATTACTATCGCTTCACAAAATATTTTTCTTACTAATCGGGCATAATATGACGTTACTGATTCAATACAGCAGTAATAATAAACAAAAATAGTCATTTGTTTACAGTGCCAAATGAAAAGAGCGCGATTTTGCATATCCACACAGTGTTTCACGCCCAACTCACCAATATTTAAAAACCATTTTAGAGATGTGCAGTTACCATTGTCATGATACAATGTGAATGAATCATTAATATTGAATATTTTTTATGATATTTGGTATACCACCATTTGGGAGGGTGCCCAGTCCAATGGCGATTTTAATTTTTTTCTAAAAACATCGCAAATACGATTTCTTGTATTTTAACCTAAAAGGTTTGGGTTTTTGTAGAAAGAAAATAATATTTGGTCTCAAAGTACAATTTTTTGAGCTCTACAATTCAAATGAAGTTCTTCGAAAACCTGGCTACCAGGTCATATAATCCAATCGAGAGAAACCAAGCCACGCCCACTAGTAATAATATAAAACCATAGTCAAATACTAACATCGTAGTGAATGCGTCCGGAACATTGAGAACAAAAACTCGAGCACTAACCCGGGCCCTGCGACCGTTACTACATCGCCTTTGATGATGTCTACCGCAGTAGTAGACGAAACGTCAGGCATAAAAACCTGCAGACCACGACCAGAAAACCCGAAAATAGCTTTCACACAGTTATCTCTGGATGGGAAAGTTAACGTTTGAATAATTGCAGTATAGTGTGGTACTTATAGTGTAAGTTAGGAAAGTGGAATAACAATAAATGACTAAAAGAATATGATGACATTAAATGTTTTAATCTTGAAAGTTATTTCTGACTATCTTGATATCTTTGGTTAGTTACAGGTGAATGCGAATTGTATACGCTTCAAGAGATAGAAACTATGGATACGTTTTTTTCCATTCGTATGCCACAGAAACAACGGAGAATCCAACACACAAATCTGCAAATAAGTATAATGTGATGTGTTTGAAACTGACACGTGTCGGAGAAGTTTTCACTCATGCTCGTGATCACTGCCACATGGTGTGATTGTGAATGGTGTGCGCGATCGTCATGTAACTTAACATTACCAAGAAAAATGTCCTCGTCGTCGTGGACAGCTTGTGCCGTGATAGCAGCCATCCCACGAATCAGAGTTAGCAGAGAGCAATAAGGACTGGGACCGTACGAGAGGAAAGAGCTATTCAAGTGTAAACCTATGGGAGCCCTGTGGAACTCTCCACACAACATCCCAACGACAGAGATGTGTTCCTACCTGAAACAAAAATAATAAATTTCACTTCAAAAAACCCAAAAATGTGGAATGTGTGGTCAAGACGTCCGTCGATCGGATTTATGACATTAAAATTTAAAAAAAAATTGACACTTGCGTCAAGGCCTGACTGATGGTATCTAATTATAAATAGAATTTCAATGTTACGAAACTAAAACGAGGTTCCATACATGTTTATTTATGAAGAGTTTTCGGTTTTCATAATAAAAAAAACAACACCGAGAGGGCATTTCACAGCATGTTTAGGGAATGTATAACTGACCTGTTTGGTAACGTGGTTATATTTTCCAAACTTCGAAGATTTGTTCCTACTCGCGTCTTTGTTATATTATACTTTCTTGTACATCTCTGATGGTTATATGAATATAAGTAATAAGTTTTCATTGTTGCGATAACTTCTTGGAGTAGTTTGAGTATGGAAGATTCGCGTGTTGAGTTTGGAAACAATTTCCACAGAGCCATTATCAAGTTAAGGAATGGCCTCCGAGAGATAAATATATTCCAGGTCAAGCTAACGTGAAGAATATACCTCTTATTAATCCCAAAAACGTTTTGTTACCTCCATTACACATTAAACTGGGGTTAATGAAAAATTTTGTAAAAGCATTAGACAAAGAAGGTGATGCGTTTAAATATCTTAAACACGTTTTTCCAAAATTAAGTGATGCAAAGCTCAAGGAAGGTATATTTGTTGGACCAAAAATTAGAAAACTACTAAGTGAATCAACAGTTTGATCAAAAATTAAGTAATGTTGAGTTAGCTGCGTGGATTTTTTTAAAAGAATTGTTTCGGAGTTTTAAGGAAACAACAAAATAGAAAAATAACGAAAGACTTGTAGAAGAACTACTTGAAAACTACTGCAGAATGGAATGTCGCATGTCTCTCAAAATCCATTTCTTGCACTCCCATTTGAATTTTTTCCCATAAAATTTGGGTGCTGTCAGTGACGAACAAGAGAAAAGGTTCCACCAAGGCATACCTACTGACAATGGAGCAACGGTACCAAGGCAGATGAGATGCAGCAATGATAGGGGATTATTGTTGGTTCCTTATGAGGGAAAACGATGAAACATATAAACGAAAGTCAACATTTGCAAAAAGGTTATCCACAAAAGACTCCATATGAATGTTTTTTATGTGTATTGTAAATAAAGTCTGTTATCCTCAAAATATATTGTTTTTTTTCTTGTTTTGATCTTATATTTCCCTATATGTGAAAATTTTTGTATAAAATAAAAATAACTATAACTCAAAATCTGTACGTGATGGAAAATGTTTGATAATGAAGTCGCAGTCAGGATGCTTTAAACTCTCATGTATAGACATTATAATATCAGTCGCAAATTTTTTTTTGTTTGTTGGCTAGTGCTATTTGGATATTCGAAAACCTAAACTAGGCTAATCTACTTATGTATCGTCAACGCGCACTTTTCGAAGCTGCCGATACATGATTTCTTATATAATTATTGCATGTCGTGTTTATAATGGAGCACTATTTATTGACATTATGTTCTACCAGTAATTTTGTGGGCGGTTTACTACTTCTTGTTACATTCATAACGTTAGTTTCCCTAGAAATAGTAAGAAGATAGGAGATGAGACCAGTACATCTTAACTAGGCAATTGTTTATTTATTCTCAATTTTTAGTTTTTTTTGTTGTCTTTGAACTGTGTTTTTCTAGTCCTTGACATTTCTTCTTGTTATGATCATTACTGTAGTTTCATAGATAAAAAACTTATTTTTAAAGCTGGCAAAATTTACTCACGTATTCCACCGCTGACACCAATAATTTCAACAACAGACAAAAGTTATTCGCTTGATGAGACTATTTTTGATCAACCATTGATCAACATACAAAAGTTGTTTACTGATTCGTTGAAGCTTGAAAAAACTGTTCTTGTTGAAACATCTAGGATGTTATTTCAGTAACCCCCTCATATAACAATCAAATATTGAATTAATGGAAAACAAATTAAAATAAGATATAGCTGTTGACAAAAATGGCCACTGCACGTTATTAACTACCAATTTAAAATTTAAAAATTTATAATATGCCAATTTTCAATTTTATATAGTCTTCAGTTGAAAGATAACTACAATATCCATTCAATACATATTCAATTAACTTCTGTCATATACACTTTATGTTAAGTTTTCGAATGTGTTTACCTTGCAGAAATTTCTTCAAGGAACTGCCTGCGAAATAGAGACGCAAGAAACGAAACAATACTGAAAACAACACCCCCGTGTCCGAAGCACCCCAACACACCGACACCCGCCTAATCAAACGACCAAAATTGCCTATTTGACTTTCTCGAGAGAGGCGGAGAGAATCGAAAAACACGAATAACTAATTTTCCAGGGAGAACCTTCCGATTTCCCGAGATGCGTTCGGCGATATTGCGACAGAATCGTCTCCGAAGGCCCGGATCATTCTACGCGATAGACCGCCGTCGCCGCCACCACCGAAGGCACAGGCAGGGTTGCCAGATTATGACATTTTTTCCAAAATTGAAGATTTTTTCTAACGAGTATTTTTTGAGGATACATTTTTCTGAAGATTTCTTCTGAGAGACATTTATTCATTTGAGAAATAAGAGGATATTTTGAGAGCTGGCACTACTCCGCTTCAACTTCATTTCATTTCAATAACATTCGAAAAATCTCAGAAACAGTTTAAATTAATTACATTTGGGGCAACGAATCATTACATTACAATATGTGATTGAACACCTTTTCTTCTAGAAGTAAACACGTCTTTTGCTTTTGAGCTTTTGTTTGCTTGATATTTTGCATTCGGTATATAAAAAAGAGCTATACAAAGGTGAGTCGAAGTCAAAATTCAGAAACTGCTGACGTATCACTTTTGTTGGAAGTTTTAAAAGATTGAAGTGTTTCATGCTACACAAATGGTGGTTTTCACAACTAATAAATTGTAGGAATTTCCTATTTTAGAGTAAGAAAACTTCATATTTTAATTATAGATTTTAAACTCAAAACGGAAATGGCTCTGCCTGACATATGCTAGAATAATTAAATTTCCACTTATCGAAGTTGGAAGATAGAAAAAGAAATAAAATGTATTCAAAGAATAATTGATAAAGTGCTGACAAATTTTATGAAAAATACCCAAGCATGAGGTTACTTTTTAGTGAATTTCATAAATAAAACCAATTGTTTTGAATAGACTGACAATTACTTGGTGAAAATCAATTTATGATAATAATTACAAATGTTCATAATATAGATACAATTCAATTCCAAAACGCAATTCACTACAACAATAGCTACTGTTGTAGCGCTGGGTGAAAAGCAGTTCACATATATAGCAAAATTATCCCCTGCGATGCCGCTAAGAAAAATTCCATTAATAAATTTTTAGATTCTATAATAGTTGATACCTACAAGAAATTTACAATATGATAGTGATGCTTTATTCTTAAGAAACATTACATGTTAATGTTTGAGAATTATACTTTTTAACTCTGGATTATAATGCTCTCAATTAAAAAGATTAGCTGAAAAATAACAATTATATTAGTCAGAAAAACTGGAATTACAATGTAATGAAATACAAGCAGTAACCAAGAAATCAAAAAATTGAAATATCAACACGAGATGAAAATAAAAAAAAAATATTAACAAGAAATGACAATTAAAAAAAAATTGAAAGGTTCGAAACAAAGTTACTTTACGACATTTCGATTGTTAGTATCCACAATCGTCTTTGGGTGATAACTTCGTGTTAATATTTCAATTTTTGATTTTTTGGTTGTTGCTTGTATTTTATTTCATTGTAATTTCATTTTTTTAATAATATAATTGTTATTTTTCAGCTGATCTTTTCAATTTTTCACAGATTCTTTCAGAGATTTCAAATCAATTTATATCATATTAGACAATGGAAAACGCTTCAAACGCTCCAATACGTCTTCCAAGATCTTTGTTGCAGCAACTTTTGCAACCATATGATATTTCTATGTATCCATTCAGCGAATATTCAATTCATTTTACCACTTTGAAAAATCCATCAAAATTTCGTTTTGACAGATTGTGATTATATTATTTTTCATTTTCAGTAAATTTCCGCATCTCTGAAATTTCTTAAAAAAAGTTATTTGTTACAAATGAACGAGAAATTACAAAAATGTCCCATATTTAGCAAACGGAATATTGTATACTCTGAAGACGCGATCCTCTGAATTATCCTGCAACGAGATGTGAACTAATATTTATTTCAGTCATCATTATATTTTTTTGTGTAAATGCCTCTTCCTGGACAACTTGTTGACTTTTAGCAGACCGCGTTAAACCGAAATCGAGCTGAATGATCTGGCAACCCTGGGAATAGATCAATGGCTGGATGTAATGAAACGGCGCCGCCAAGTCTGCATTCGATTATTCTCGGCGGTGAGTCACGCGATATTTGCTTACAGATAAGAATGTTATTTTCCAGAAAACGATAAAAAGCGAGTAGGCGACGACGAATGGGGTGTTAATTAACTACGAAAAAACCTAGTAGCAAAGTGGAGGACGAGGTTACTGTTTTTTTTTAATTTCCCTCTGAGTGGCCTTCAAATCGAGATTTCAACTTCAGATTGCTCATTCCGAATCATGGAACCTGGATTATCGAAAAAGTACCTCAAGGCATAAGTACTAGAATAATAATAAGTGAAGGGTAGTGATACATAGAAGAAAGCAACATTACCCGAATATAGCTATTCATAAAAAGTACAATAATTAAGTATTTGGCTAAACCAATTCGAACTTAACCCACCAGAACGAAAAGTTATACCTCTAATATTATAGCAGAAGTTCACACAACTGTCAAAAATACCGGGTGTAAACTGATTCAAGCTCGCCCCCATAACATTTTTCTCTCTGCAGCTCTCTCCAACTTTGAATTTGAATCTTAAAAAAATACTTTGCGAGTCTCTAGTTCTTTCTACATTTCTCATTGCGATACGATCTATAGCTCTT